ATATCACTGTGTTTGTCCCCTATATGATATATTTAACTGATATTTTTCATCCAAACAATCAATGATTTATTAAGGTAAATCAGGAAAATTCACAAGGCTGCCCAAACTTTCACACCCCACAGTAAATTAATTATTTCAATACGATATAGTAGGGCTGTGTGGTATATGCTTAGACGGTAGAAACGGTATGAAGTTGGCCTACGGTAGAAATTTACCCTCTACCGTCCTATTGTCATTACGTCATCGCACCTGTGTCAACAGAGCTGCGAGTGCAGAGACAACTGAGCTGGAGTTTGAAATATAATGAAGAAATTATAGTGTTTTAAAACACGTATAGAGAGAATAAATCCTCAAAATGTCCCCCACCCGCTGTAGAAAAGTTACGTTGGGACACCCCCCCACAACTCTCCTGCTGCACGCCGCGCAGTGCGAAGCTTTAACAATCATAATTTTTTCACATCCAATTGTCAGAGAAAAAAACTTGTTTTTTAAGTATTGTTACCCACAGAGATGATAAAAAAGTCATGGACGTTCGTTCAGTCGTAAATCCATCTTGCTAATGTAAAGTCGGCTTCTGCTGTGATGATGACGATGATGAAGATGAGCGCGCAGCAGAGCAGCAGCTGATAAGTTCAGCAGGCAGATATTAAAGCAAAAATGCTGGGTTTGATTAAGATTAGTTTTCTGCAAAATAAGTGCTCTAAAAACTAAGGGATTCAATTTATACTGTGATATGAATTTGAGGTCATACCGCCAAGCCCTAGTAACAATACATAAAAAAAACAATTTTATTTTCTTCGACAACTTGGGTGTAAYAAAACTAGGGATGTTAAAGCTTTGCTCTGCYCGACGTGCAGCAGGAGGGAGGAAATGATCCGATGATATGACGTAACTTTTCTACAGAGGGAGGGGGGAATTTTAAGGATTTATTCTCTATACGTGTTTTAAAACGCTATATTTCTTCATTATATTTTGAACTCCTGCTCAGTTGTCTCTGCACTCGCAGCCCTTTGACACGGGTGTGATGATGTAACTGATGGCAGGACGGTAGAGGGTACATTTCTACCGTAGGCCAACTTGTGTCAATCGCATATACCACACAGTCCTAGATACTGTGAATGTGAGTCTGTTTTTAAGATAACAGGAAGGCAGAAGGAGGAAAATAAAAGCAGCTTATTAGTCTGATAGGTCTTGTGTTTATTATCACATCAGACCTGTAGTTGTGCTCATAAGTAATAATCCCACCGTCCTCTGAAACATGTCATTTCTGAAGTGAATTTCAGGCACAGGGGCAGCAGATCTGCAGTTTTCCCATCATGTGGGTTTAAAAACTTTTAGTCCCCTGTTCCCACCCTCCGGCTGCTGGCTCCAGTGTTGGGACCAAAATAGACAAATCATTCAGTCTTTACTTAATAAGGTCATTTAGTCGAACCATTCCTGTTCTACACATTAAACTAGAAGCTCCTGGGATGTTTAGTTCTGTGCAGTGTTCAGAGAACATTGTAAAAGTCAGAGTTTAGTTTGTTATTCCAACTCCAGAGCTGTGTAGGCAGGTTTTTCACAGCCTCTTGCTACAACTCGACCCAGAGTTACTCTGAGTAACAGCTTGGTTAAAAGCTTCAYCTGATATTTTGTTTCTCTTGTGTTTAATTTTGCAGTTTCTACAGAGTCAGAATCAGGATGAAGGGACGGGAAGATGATATTCAAGACCGGTGAGTGAAACTAGAAACTTTCACTTCTCTGTTTTTGCTCTCGACCACAGAACCAACAAAATATTTTGTTCTCAACCACAGTCTCCGTTTCTGCTGGTGGTTATATTTTGATGTTTTAAAAGATTTGTTACMGCAGAGTAGGGCTGCAACTAATGAATATTATGTTAGTCGACTTATCTGCGATTATTTGTCCAATTAGTCAAGGATTATTTTTGTCACGACGTCCATCTAAGCTTCATGTTCCAGCTCCAGTGTCGTCTCACCTCACCTGCTCATCACACCTGTTAATGTCACCTGTTATCCAGTGTCTCAACTTTAACATAAGTTCACAGCTAATTAAAATAACCCATGAAACATGCTGTATGAATTTCAACAGCTTACTCAGATGTATTTTTACATTAATGAAAACATAATAAAAATGAAATTACTGTATATAAAACTTGTTAAACTGCAAGTAGTCTTTTAAACAAACAGAGAATGTACAAATAACTGAAAACATCAGCCTCTCCCCAGCATGAGGGGCTGTTAACCTGCCCTGCTGAAAGTCCTAAATAAACTAAGAGGAATAACTTTMMTCAAAGTYATATTCAAGAGCTTAAATAATCCATCCTGATTGAAATCTTGCTGGATGTGACAGTTAACGCCATCAAAAAGTGGGATAAGATGAGACAGGATGTAATGTTAGTATAATTCAGTGATTTAATATGAATCACTTATTAGATARGTTAGTTTATCTGATAACTGCACCTTACAGCAAACACCATTTTCTGATGGTAAACTAACAAAACTAATACTGTTGTCTTCAGAACAAAGTGCTCAGTCAACTGAAAATAAGATTTATGACGCTTCAACCTATGGCTGCTCAATATATCGAAAATTTATCGTCATCGTGATAATAGCCTGTGCAAATAAGCATATCACAACAACTGCATAAACTGCAATAAATGGTTGACATAAACGTTTGCWTTTATGCGTTTTGACATTCAGATGGAAGCTTGAAATATTTCACCAATCAAATGGAGCCCTCCATGTATTTGGTCAATTAAAATAAGAAATTCAGGCTGGAATGGAAAAGATTAGTTTGTTTTAGGTTGATTTTTGGGCTTTGAACCCAGAGCATAAAGATATCAACACTACATATATATTGTTCATTTATCACAAGTCATATTGTCATCACAATATTAAGCACTGTTATCACACATTGCAGGTTTTCCTAATATCGTGCAGCCCTACTTCAACCTGACAAACAAATTAACCCCGGATTTACACTGCATGTAGTTTAAATTAGGGGTAAACTTACAAATCTGGATTTTGTGCCTGAATTTTACTTTCTGTGGTTGATTTTTGATAAAATGTAGCAAATTTGGAAAGTTGAAATCTTGTTTTTTCCCTCTTTGACGCAATCGTCTCTGTTCCACCATTATTATCGCTCTTTGATTGGCCCGCATCTTCTTCTGTGGTTTGCAGAGCAGCATGCCACGTTCTTCTTCTTTTGTAAACAAAGCAACCACAGACAAAAGAAGTGATTTTGCCCCCAGCAGGTCATGAATTGCATTACAGTAATTAATGATGCATCAACTTATTTTTATWATCAACGTCGATTACGTTGACTAATCGTTGCAGTCCTACTTCTGAAGTTCTCTGTGGTCAAAATATGTCATGAGCCACTGGACAGATTTGATTAAAACTCTAATCATTTACAACTAATTACCTTTTGAAGTCAGCACCATGAAGTTGGTGGTAAGAAACAGAAKGTAATAATGGCTGTAACTCAGTCAGGTTTACAGATATTGAGACATATTTTGTAGGGGTTTAAGAAAATATCYATACARTGAAATATRYCGATATTTCATTTRCCGAMACTGTATCGATATTCTAAAGCCCTGTATCGATTTTTTATTGAGGTTTAAAATGTCAACTTTCCTGCCAGCCGTTCATTTTTATGTTGTAGTTCAGCCTCTGACCACTAGTTGGCAGCAGTGAGCCAGCCATTTGGCTCCTCTACCTCTTGAGGTAGAGGCTATTGTTAAGTGTTGGGTGACCATATTGTAAAGTAATATTAAACACTAAAAGCTGCAAAAAATATATTTTCAAACTATTTATTGGCTAAATTTAGTCTAATAATTGAAAACATGGATGAAATAAGAAATATGAAACAAATAAAATAAAATACATACAAAGCAGAACACAGCTAAATGTTTCAAAAGTATGTCTATGTAATATTAGAATTTTCTGAGACAATGAATTTTCGTTTTTCATTTTATTTTTTCCAGTAAGAGGTTTTTATTTAATAGAATTTTTGGACAAAAATATCACAATATATTACAATATATCGCCTTGCTTACAGTATCGCAATATATCGGGATATATCGTATCGTGACCCCTCTGTCATGATATGTATCATATCGCCAAATTCTTGCCAATACACAGCCCTAATATTTTGGGTTGGTAGTAGCAGAGAGTCTCCAACACATATCTGAGTGCTAACTGATGAGTACTGGAGTCAGCCCTGAATCTCAAGAAGCACTGGACAGATTAGAAATGAAATTATTCTTCCTGTTTTGATGTCTCCCTTGACTCRCATATTTTCCATGCACAGAGGCTGTTTGGTGGGAATCATTTTCTTTATTTTGGGCCTGGGAACGCTGCTGCCATGGAATTTCTTCATTACTGCTTCACTGGTGAGAAATAACACACAAGAAGAAAAAAAAACAACACAAATTACAAACTGTAGTTGAAATGGCTTAATCCCACAAAGCCATCAGGTTTGATGCCAGTCAGATTACGTCATGTTCACATTTTTCACATCAAAGTTGTCACTTGATTTGTTCYCTGGCCGGGTTACATCACACAGATTAGATTAACTGCATGTTAATTATTTGTAGTGACTGTAACTTTTTTTTCCCTTTCACACGAGTTAAACTCWACAAGAAGAAGCTAATGTTAGCCACAGTTAGCTTACCGTTCTCTGTCATCCCGCTCTCTTGTCTTTAATGTTATACTGCTGGATGGTCCGGTACAGCATCAGTACTTTTCCTTCCAGTTTGGTGTAGTTCATTATRATTGTTGTGTCGCAAATAAAACTAACAAGATTTTGCACGTTTGCCGCCCACATGGAGACAGCCGGCTCTCTGCTCAGCTCAACGTAGGGCCGGGGTAGCGTTAGCCTGCTTTAAACCAGACCCTGTCCTTCACTTTGCTTCGTACAAGGGTCTGAACTTGCTGAATAGAGAATTGATTCTTGCAGGAGGCGTGGCCTCTGCTGAAGTTTAAAATGATTGGATTGGTTGGCTGTGACGTATGTCGCAGTGACGGAGGTTAAGCTAAGAAGCTAACCATAAATTGTGTGTGCTGTAAACAACTTTACTGAGAGGAGAAATATACTGAGCTGAACGAGACGACTGTAAATGAGAGCTGCTGCTTTGTCAGACAAATTTAATTTAATTTGGAAGCTTTATCAACACAGACTGGCTTCATTCACTTCCTCCACTGCCTTATGATAAAATAACTAGCAGACACTGCGCAGAAAGTCAACGTCATTCAAAACTCCGCCTACTGTTTGCTGATTGGCCCAGGTAAAATAAACTACAAGCAGACACTGCGCAGAAAATTGACGTTCTCTTCTCTGATTGGCCCGGCTAAAAATCTGCCAGTGAAATCCTTGTCATGGGAGAAGTCCCAGACGGAGCAGTGAAGGGAAACTAGAATTGAGCGGAGCTGCATATGAAGATAAGGGCCAGACTAGGGTAGAGTAGGCCAGGCTGAGGGCAGCGTGCCCTCTACTGGATGAAGGCAAAACTACACTGAAATCAGGTTTAAATGGATGTTTTCAATTAATTGAATGGAAGAAATTTTAAATCTAATAAACCATTATTCGTAAGTAGATTTAATTTTGCATACCTAATACTATTACTCTTATCAGTATTGCTTATTGATTCTGTACGTTAATGATACATTTATCAATGCTTTTCTTTGGAAAAGTACTCCACAGCATGTCTCCAATGGCATCAGTAAGGCTACAAGCTTTTACAGGTTTTTTTTCTTTTTTTCGTATTGGCAGCAAACGTAGTCATGACTGGACTGGAAACCTGTTCCATTATTAATACTTGACAGAGGTTCACCTTAAAAGCCAGAAAAACAAATATGTAAAGACATAGCCTTCCAAATAAATGCTTCATACAACACCCTGATTTTTACTTGTCATACATTTATAAACAAACAAAAAAAAACAGTATTTACATTCTACCCATCCATGGCATGCAGTAAACAGAAGGCTGTCTGTACTTGTTAAATCAAGTTTGTGTAGTTCAAGTCATCTAGTGTAGAAACTGTTTATACAATAACTCAAATACAATAAGTCCTCAATTCAATTTATTAAATCCACATAACTGCTGAGGAGTCACCACGTAACTCATGATGAGTGTTTCTGTCTCTCGTCTTGTTGATGCCTACAACATGCAGAGGACAACAAGATCAAACACTAAAGAAAAAAAGAGCAAAAACAATTAAATGTTTGCAACAGTTTCAAACCAATAAAGAAAAATGCAGCATCTTTGCAAAATCAAGTCAGTGTAACACTGAAGTCAGTTTTTTACACACCGTACACAGATGTGTTTTGGCCAAAACAGCAATCGTTGCACGATCTTTACAGTAAGTCTTTAAACAGTCACAGCTTCCTGAACCATGTAAATGACAGGAAGAGGGGGTTGTGCATAAGTCAGGAGTCATTTCAGCCATTAGAGACATAAAAGTCCATGACATTCACCAACAGTGAGGCAGTGGGTTAATTTTTAGAGTGGAGGCAGTTATGAAGCTTCAACATTAGCCATGTGAATGCATTATTAATGGTGTGGGTGCTGGAAGACCATTGCTCAGCTAGTTCATATACGTTTATGTATGGACCAATCAGTTTTTGTTACTCAAGAGTCCTTATTGAGCAAAGAAAGCTCAGACTCTGAAGCATGAGCTTAAAAAGACCTGATGCCTGGATTTATGAGGACTGAAATGGTTCCTTATGGTCCTAAAGCCCCTTATGTAGGACGAGGGCTTACAGTGAAAGTTTGGAACACGGCTGTAGCACAGTCTATCTGATTACTCAAAGATAAATCATTGAAACCTTGATCACTAAAGTATCTGAAAGCAGCCACTCTAATGTAGCCTGGTAAAAACCAGACCCTGTCCTTCACTTTGCTTCGTACAGGTCTGGACTCGCTGCTATTGAGAAGTGATTCTTGCAGGAGGCGTGGCCTCTGCTGAAGTTTAAAATGATTGGATCAGTTGGCTGCGACGTATGTCGTGTGAAGGAGGCTAAGCTAAGAAGCTAACCGGAAATTGCGTGCACTGTAAACAACCTTACTGAGAGGAGAAAAGTACCGAGCTGAACGAGACGACTGTAAATGAGACCTGCTGCTTTGTCAGACTAATTTAATTTAATTTGAAGCCTTATCAGCACAGACTGGCTTCATTCACTTCCTCCACTGCCGTATGCTAAAATAACTGACACTGTGCAGAAAATCGACGTCATTCAAAACTCCACCTGCTGTTTGCTGATTGGCCCAGGTAAAATAAACTACAAGCAGACACTGCGCAGAAAATTGACGTTCTCTTCTCTGATTGGC